GCCTCCCAAAGTGCTGGGATTACAGGCTTGAGCCACCGCGCCCGGCTGGCAACTCCATTCTTTCAAGTGCTAGGGCCAAAACCTTGGAGTTATCTTCAACTCCTTTTTTTCATTTCCATTCCGCATCAACTTATTAGCATATCCTGTTGCTCCTATTTTCAAAATACATTCAGAATCTGATGGCTTCTCTCTGCCTTCAGTGCTGCTACTCTGGACTGAACTATTACCATCTCTTGCCTGGATTCCTGGCTACCACAATTGATATGTCTGCCTCTGTCTTGGCCCCAATACAGCCTGTTTTCTACATAAAAGTCAAAACGAAAGTGTTAAATCTAAGTCAGATGCTGTTAATCTTCTGCCCCAGCTGCAATGCATGCCCATTTTACTGAGTAAAAGCCAAAGTCCTTCCAACGGCTTATGAAGTCCTGTGTGACCTAGCATCTCTCGTTCTACCCTTGTCTTCCTCCACTTTAGTCATTCTGCTACACTTTGAACATCCCAGTCCTGCTCCTACCCCTGGACCTTTACACCAGCTGTTCTTGCTACTGGGCGCATTATTCCCACAGATAACACAGGCTACCTCCCTCCCGGGCTGCATGTCTTGGCTCCAATGCTACTATTTCAGTCAAGCCTACCCACCTCCCAGGGCCCCTCTTCTCACACTGATACTGCTTATTTCCCTTACCTGGCTTTGTTTCTTTTTCTTATCACCTGCAAACAAACGGTGCAATGTTTTTACTTATATCTTTATTGTTTATTGTCTATTTCTCCCACTAGAATATAAGCTCCTGAAGGCACATATTTTTGTCTGTTTCATATACTGTTATATATGCATCAATTTTGTAATATGAATGCATGAAGATTCAGTGACCTACACAAATTCACACAAGTTGGAAGTCAAGATTTGACCTCAAGGAGGCCGAGTATGGTGACTCATGCCTGTAGTCCCAACACTTTGGGAGTCCGAGGCGGGCAGATCACTTGAGGTCAGGAGTTTGAGACCAGCCTGGCCAACATGGTGAAACTCTGTCTCTCCTAAAAATACAAAAATTAGCTAGGCGTAGTGGTGCATGCCTGTAATCCCAGCTACTTGGGAGGCTGAGGCAGGAGAATCACTTGAACCTGAGAGGCGGAGGTTGCAATGAGCACTGATGGTGCCATTGTACTCCAGCCTGGGTGACAGAGTAAGACCCTGTCTTAAAAAAAAAAAAAAAAAAAAGGAAAAAGAAAAAAAGATCTGACTTTAAGCAGTGAGTGTAATTTCAGAGCTCTCCACTGAAGTCACAGTGCAATCCCATCTCTTCTTATCCTTTTAAGATTTATTCAAATGTCAACCTTCAAGAAGCTAATTTCACATTCTGAATTAGTCTTTATTCTCTACTTTCATGGGATCTTGTTTTTAATCTTCTCACCCTACATGTTAGCTTATGCCTTTAAATATATCTATTCTTCTATCCAGGTAGGTGGGTAAGTTCCTAGTGGACAGCTTTGATGTCTGATTTTTCTTTGGATATGCCCTGTCAGGCACTGATTAGATCACTTTTGGATGGATGAATTTATTTATGAATATGTGAGTGATAGAATTCTGAGACAGGAGAAACATGTTAACTTATAATTCAGCAGGTTAATATTAGGCAAATATAAATTTTGACCAAGTTTCCCAAACCAAGTAGTATTCAAATAAGCAACAGTTTTTAAGGGAATTGATAGATTGTTCTGATAATACAGGGGGCCACAGAAAGCACTTGAGAATGTGCTCTGATGAGCAGTGCATTGGTGGTCAAAGGAACAGAGAAGAACTGACATCATAAATCAAAGGCTTTTCTAACTGCAAGAAAAATTAAGCTGGCTGCAACTCTGAGTAATAAGAATAAAATTAATAGAGACTACTAATGGACCTAATCATAAACTGTACAAATATTTTCCAATAAAAGAGCTTAAAATTATGGAGAGGATTTCCCCCCATTCTTTCTTGTCATCTTTATTTTTATTAACCTTTTTCATTAATTCATTATACTGAACAGAAATAGATATTTATTTTACTCCAAACATGTTTGAAAGTACCCAAATGTAATAGATCGCTATATATGGGCTACTTCAAATGCCACGGTTTGATAGCAAGAGGTCTGACTTTGTGTAAACAAGCAATCCTTTGCTTTCTCATGTCAATGGTAATATTTTCCAACATGGTGTTTAAAAGTCTAGAAAACACGCAAAATAGAAACCGACACTGAAAACTAAAATCAAATTTACAGCTATACAACTGAGGTCAGCAAAAGCAATACGTATGTGGCAGATAAAGATATTTTAAAGATTGTGGATAAAAGATTAATAAAACTTAACTTACCTAGCCATCTGCAGGTGCTTTTTCCTAAGAATAATGAGGGTAACAAGCAACAGTCCAATTAAAAGTGTGCTAAGGATGGCCAGCACGGAGATCACTACCACATTGGGATTCATCTCTGTAACTAAAGAGATAAGTCGTGCATTTTCATCATAGGTTCTGTTATAGGGAACCAAACAGAACCATTCATTGTTTCTCATCTAGTCTTAAGAGCAGGTGAACTTATGATGATACCAATAATAAAAGCAATCATGTTCCCCAAGCCAACAACGACCTCTTCCTGGTTAACTGTAACTTTGCAAACTAGACTGATAAATGGTATTCAGGTGTCTGGAAGAATTGAGTCCATTTCAAAGGCCTACAACATTCAGAATCTTCTTATAAAGGGAAACTGAAGAATGAAGGATACCTGTGCCACAGTTTAAATTCATTTGAAAGCTAAAAATGTAGAAGCAATTATCATGCATTATCACTTTTTAACATTTTCACAAGCTTAGAGGTGGCAACTTATTTTATGCCCATGATTTTGAAGTCAGAAAGCACAACTGTATACTTTGCTTACAACTAATAATGTATATGAAAAAGACATTAGCAAACTACCATCTGCTGAAGCACTTAACACATTACTAGAAGCAGGCATTCTGATGATCCGTGGCCATATGTTTAGAGGTTTTCCATCTGCACAACTCAGGAGATTACACCTATTAATAGGTTGTAGAGCCCTGAAGAACCGGGGTCGCGTCCTTTTTATGTACTCTATATAAAGTCTTCTCTCCTATGGCACCTACTCATTGTCTACTCCTTCACACTATGCAGAAGAACAGGATATCAAAGGCAGGAACGTAGGTTAAATGTTTGCATAAAACTCTTTAAAATGGGCCTGAGGACTCATACCATCTTTTGCATTGATCATAAAATTGCAGAGTGAGCGAGCACATCTATCTGATCCCTAAGGTTTTGGGTATTTATCATTTCCCATGTGGGCCAGCTTGGCTCCAGTTTATGGGTAGAGTGCTTAAACAGAAAGAACAATAGACTCATGGTCAGAAGAGTTGTTCACTTGAGTATTAACTGCTATTTGGAGAAGTCATTTCATCTGCCCTACGGGCCTCATTTTTCTCATTTGTAAATAAGTTTAATAATGTTGTACTGTGTTGTCATGGAGCTGACAAGGAATGATGGACATTAAGGTACAGTTGACCCTTGAACAAAATAGGTTTTAACTGTGCAGGTTCACATATATGTGGATTATCTTCCCCCTCTGCCACCCTTGAGACAGCAAGACCAAACCCTCTTCTTCCTCGGTTGACTCCATGTGAAGACCGTGAGGGAGGTCTTTTTGAAGATCTGCTCCCACTTAATGAATAGTAAATATATTTTCTCTTCCTTATGATTTGCTTAATGATATTTTATGTTCTGTAGCTTACTTTATTGTAAGAATACAATATATAATATGTGTAACATGCAAAAATGTGTTAATCAACTGTCTACATTATTGGAAAGACTTCTGGTCAACAGTAGTCTATGAGTAGTTACGTTCTGGAGGAGTAAAAGATTATGTTTGGATTTTGAACTATGTGGGAGTCAGCACTTCTAACCCTCTCGTTATTCATGGTCAACTGTATACTTTAAAAGGTGTGCAAGGATGTAGGAATGAGAGACAATTAAAATATTTAACAGGTATACATTTTGTCCTCCCTTCTGAAAAAACAAAAATTAAAAACAGAAACCAAAAAGAAAAATAAAAAAGAAAACAGTCCATTCCAGTCATCCCTGAATATAGCAGCTACATATATGACTAATATTACACAAATGAAACTAAACCAGTAAAGAAACGATGAGATGTGAGTGGCTTTATTACAGGAAGCTTCATAGAGGGCCTCAGGTTGCAGAATCAGACTAACAAGCCAGGACTAACACATGTGATACAACTCAGAGAAAGAATAAAGAAATAAACAACATCATTCCAGAGCTTTCATTAATCTCTAATTTTCCAACTTATACTTTTGGCTGGATTGGAAACTTTCTTGCTTTGACACAGTAATCAATTATGTCATTCTCTGATGGGTGACAGATGAAGGCTAAGGCTACATAGATGAAATTGGATTGATAAGGATACTGTGCCTATTCCTGAACAAGATCTGATAAATTCCCAAGTAGCATTTAGAGAGCATATACTAACACTTTGACTATTTTACTTCTAAGCTTCAAAACAACTCAGGAAGCCACATATTATTATTCCAATTTTATGGATGAAAGAAAAGCTCAGAGACACCCAATGTCTTTCTCTAACTCCATAGCTAGTAAGTGCACTTTAGGATTGAAATTAAGGACTCTTTGACCCTGGAGCTTGAGATTTCTTGGTGGAATATTGGTTCCATTAAAAAATGCATATGCATATATATATGGCTTTTTTTTTTCAAAAAGGAAAAGTGAGAAAACTATGGAAAAATATGGGAAGAACTTCCAAAGACCAGATTCCACTAGTGTGTATAATTACCCATTGTTGAGACGGCTATGAACGTAGGGACACTGGGGCTGTCATGGCTAAAGCTGGTGACACTACAATTGTAGGCAGTGGCAGGAAGAAGGCTGGAGATTGTCACGACATGAGAAGAAACAGCAACTGGTTCCTGGGATTTCAGAAAATAAGATACATTTAGGTTATCCTCATCTATCTTTTTAAAAAATATTTTTCATAGTTGAGTCAGTAATAGATTTACAGAGTAAAAAATGTACAAGACGACAAAGGATAGCACTGAAAAATGTTCCCTTCTTTCCCCATTCCCCATTTGACCAATTCCCTTCCATGGAAGAAGCCATTGTTGTCAGGCATTATTTTTCGTCCCATATGCGTTTTATGGATGTATAAACACATACGACATAGTTAAAAAACAGAAGTGATGGCTTAGCTTACACATTGTTCTGCTTATTTCTCACCTTAGTTATCAATGCATTTTGATGCTTTTTCCATATCAGTACAGGTTAAGCTGTTTCATTCTTTTTAAGGGCTGCATAGAAATCCATTGAAAGGTCATACAGTACTTTCTTTAGTGAGCCTCCACTGATGAATGTGTAAATGATCTCTAATTTTTTGCTATTGCAAACAATGCTACAATGAACATCATTTCACAAATTTGGGAAGACACACACACACACACACACACACACATACATATATACACACAATGTATGCATGTAATATGTATGTGTGAACATACACACATACACATATATTCATATGTTCTTTGCTAGTGTAACATTCTTTGAAGTGCTGAGTCAAAAAAGTGCACATTTAAAATTTTGAAAGCTATTGAAAAATAGTTCTCTACAGGCATTTTTCAAGTTCCTCACCTATGGCATGAATCCATGACAATCCCTGCTTCCCTACATTCTTTCCAATACCATACATTCTCAAACTGAGCTTTTCCAATATTATTAGTGAAAATTGTATATTGTGGTTTTATTTTACATTTTTTAACCATAAATGAGGTTGCTCAATTTTTCATCTGTTCAAGAGGCTTTTGTATTTATTTTTCTATGAAATATTTGTTTTGGGTTGTTTGTCTTTACCTTTTTGACTTGTAGCAATTCTTTATATATTAAAGACACTACCACTTTGACTACATTCTCAACTTTTATATAGCATCCACTAAAGACATGGCAACTTTTTGCACTCAGAAACATTTAGTATTGACCTATTCTTGAGTCAAAAATTTTGCTAACTTGGTAGACCCGTGGCCAGAGTAGTGACAAGTACTGCTGTACAGTATCAAAAGATGTGCCAGTATCTTTTCAAAACAAGATTTTGAAACACGCTTGCCTAAAGAGATGAGAGCCATCAGCATTTTCTTCCACTTCCATCTCTTTCACTATTCTATAGAAGAATTATTCTAAGGAAAGACTTTTGCTAATAGGACTCAGTTGTAAGTAGCTAACTAACCATTGTTTTTTTAAAGGAAGGCATCACTGTAGTTATAGAGAAGAAAATCCATTATTTGCAGAGCAGTTATTTTCCAAATGGATTCTTAGAATAGAGAAGATTCAGCTGTTCAGTACAAATCAACAAGAGATATGTTTGTAGAAGGGAATATCAAAAGGAGAAAGGAATCAAAGCAAATTATCTTAGCATTCAGCATGAAAAGATTTGCACTCCCAGCAATCCTTTTTTCTTCTCAATCTCATGAACTTCATTATTTTAAAAAATCAGTTACTTATGTTCATATATTAGGCTACACGCTGTCTTATGTAAACTCCCTAACAAATCTTCCTTTTCCTTCCACCTCTGGCTGTGAAATATTTTTTCCCTGTGGCGTTGCCACTCCTAGAACTGCCGGTTCATCTCTTTCCTTCCATTCATTCTGACAGCTCTTTCTATCAGATCTGACATTTGTAATTCTAGAGCTTTAGAAACAGCCTTCTCTCAGCCTTGATTTTGCAACAAAACTGTCCCCCTTACAAACTAGATATGCACATCTCTTTTAAATTATCTCCGTAGTATGGACCTCTCTTGTGGTACTTACATTTTACTTTACTTTTTTCTATACGTATGCAATGTCCATATCATATAAAAATATTTTGAAGGCAAATACTGACTCTATTATATGTGTACTGTACAGTGCCTTTTATATAATTGGCAGTTGGTTCATGTATGCTAAATTATATTTTATGTGATAGAGTCTTCATTCCCTTTATCAATTCAATGGGCTGCTTCCTTTATTCCTTTGTCTGACCTGGAGTGGCTATGAATTAGGGACAAATGATACAGACAAAGATAAAAGTTCTCATAATATCTTTTGGGCTTGGTCTAAGTATCCTGTTAATTGCTATCACTGAAACACAAAAGAGCAAACAAACAGTTTTCATTTTACATAGTTCGAAGAAACAGAAGATTCTTTTTTTCTCCCAGATAATTAGCCTTAATTAAAATTAACTGAGAAAAGGTAAATCAAAAGGTACAGTACCTGAAGTTTGGTTTTCTGACTGGAGCCAACTTGTTGACAGAAAACTTCAAAGAAATCAGCTACTCCCTCTTCCACCCACAGCAAAGTCACTGAAGTCTGGGTTTTGTTCACTGCGAAGAGTGATTTGGGTGGAGCTGGTTCTGAGCAAAAAAAAAAAGTTTTAAAAAATAATTTACTAAGTGTTTTCTTTTTTCTTTCACTAATAAGCAGGTGAAACATCCCCCAAATTCACATATAGATAGGTAAGAACCATAAAAAGTTTCTATTGCTCTTGAAATATGTCCTTTCATACATATAGCTATCTAACTTGGAAGGCAGAATATTTTGTCTTTTCCTCCTTCCATTTTTTTACTTCTCTTTTTGAAACACTTTTGTTTTCGACTTCAGTTTCATCATAGACATAATATGTTAATAGTTTCTGTATCATTTATCCTGGAGTTAGCACTCCCTCGATAATACAGAACTTTCTGGATGAGAAACAAAAAATCCGTTCTTAATAAAGGTAGAGAAAAATGAAATTGGTGTGCTTTTTTCTAATGATGAGATGCAGTTTGGTATTTAGCCAACAACCTATTTTCCTTTCTCTGGAAACTATCTGAAACAATTCAGACAGAAAAATGGCTGCTTGAAAATTTAGTCAAAATTTAAAAAGATAAAGCTAAACAGATTATATATATATATATATACACACACATACATATACATATATATACACATATATATATACATACATATACATATATATATACACACACATATATATATATATATATATATTTTTTTTTTTTTGAGGCTGGAGGCTGGATCTCACTCTGTCACCCAGGCTGAAGTGCAGTAGTGGAAACACAGCTCATTGGAACCTCATTTCCCTGGCTCAACTGATCCTCCTGCCTCAACTTCCCAAGTAACTGGGACTGCCTGGCTTATTTTTGTATTTTTTGTAGAGACAGAGTTTTGTCATGTTGCTCAGGGTGGTCTCACACTCCTGGGTTCCAGCAATCAGCCTGCTTTGGCCTCTAAAGTACTGGGATTACAGGTGTGAGTCACTGTGCCTAGCTGATAATGTAATTTTTTAAGAAAAGCATTGATAGAAAAGGATTGGATGATTAATAAAATGTTAGAGATAATTTTTTTATCTTAGACCTCTTATCTAATGTCAAATCCTTAAAAATAAATACATAATATTTATTATTAAATAAATAAATCCATTCAGCAAGGAAGCTTCGCTGTCTGTCCTCTTCATACTTATTTCCAGTAATTGAGTCACTGGCGTTGTTCTCTTGAGACCAAAAAACCGTGTCTTTTTCTCAGTTCTAATAGTCATCCACTGTCTCATTCCCCGCTCCTGAATGTCTCCTGGTCTTCTGCTGTGACCCTGTCTTTTGGATGTTGTCTTTCCCTCTAGGTCCCCCAGTATGCTGAGTGTTATGCCTGAACTCAAGGTCTTAAGCTGGGGTCCCTGTTACCTGCTCTCAGACCCCCGACATTGCTTGTTTGGACATGTTGTATCTTGCTGCTAGATTCACATAACAGCATCCTTCACCTACCAGTATGTGCCTGTCAGACAACTACCACTGTTGTAGATTTCTTCCTGCTTGTTACTTGCGTTTTTCATTTTCTGCCCCACTCTGCTAAGTCTGTTCTTTAGCTCCTGTCCTTTAGCAGTGCTTGAAAAAGCCCTGTCGGCCATTTCACTGCTTTGACAGGTTCATATCTTTGTGTGGGAAGATTTGGACCTTGTTTCTAGAATATCATCATTGTGGCCCTATCCAGGACCAAGAAGTATGTCAAAATCATGCTTGACATGATTTATCACAGATAGCCTAAACTTATGTCCAACTAAAAAGAAGCATCTTTCTTTCCTGCAGCAACTTGACAAGGTTAGGCAGAAGAGTTTAAGGAGGAAAGAGATGAGTTTGTCTCAGGCAAGCAAAATTCACAATGGATGTCAGAACCCCTTTTTCACTTGTAATGAATTGTCCAGTCCTCCAGACATTGTATTGTCCCACTTCTGCTCTGAGGAAGACTGCTAATGAAATACAGAGGTCAATTTTCACTTCTCACATCCTTCATAACTGCCATTGCTAATAGGGTTATGTCCTTCCGGGATTCTGACTCCTGAGGAACTTGAATCAATGGAACCAAGTGTGAAGTTGTTTGGGGCATAGATGAATGATTTGTTAGGCTAAGCCTGGGATTTTCTTTGTTAAAAATGCACACTACAGAATTGTTCCTCAGATACAATTCTAAGGCTCTTCTTTTATTTCTCAGTGTCAGAGAGCAGTCTTTTAAAACTCTTGTTACCTTTTCCTTTAATCTATTTTTTTTTTTTTTTTGAGACAGAGTCTCACTCTGTCGCCAGGTTGGAATGCAGTGTCCAGATCTCAGCTCACTGCAACCTCCACCTCCTAGGTTCCAGCAATTCGCCTGCCTCAACCTCCCGAGTAGCCAGGACTACAGGTGTGCACCACCATACCCAGCTGATTTTTTTGTATTTTCAGTAGAGATGGGGTTTCACCATGTTGGCCAGGATGGTCTCGATCTCCTGACCTCATGATCCGCCTGTCTTGGCCTCCTAAAGTGTTGAGATTATAGGTGTGAGCCACTGCGCCTGGCCTCCTTTAATCTATTTTTAAATTATATTGCATATCCAGACTTTTGTCATCACACTCATTAATCATCACAAAACTTCTGAACCTCTTTTTCCCTGGCTCTAGTCAGTTCTTTCTTCATTTTGTCAATGATGGTTTAAAATCATTTAAAATAAAAAGCTATTTTGCTCATATTAAATCCTATCTATGCATTGTCTGTGGTATCACATCCAAACATGCCATGTCTTTGAGATCCGGCTTAGGCTGCTCGTGGTGGCTCATGCCTGTAATCTCAGCACTTTGGGAGGTTGAGGCAGGTGGATCACAAGGTCAGGAGTTTAAGACCAGCTTGGCCAATATGGTGAAACGCCGTCTCTCCTAAAAATACAAAAATTAGCTGGGCGTGGTGACGGATGCCTGTAGTCCCAGCTACTTGGGAGGCTGAGGCAGGAGACTTGCTTGAATCCCAGAGACGGAGGTTGCAGTGAATGGAGATCACGCCACTGCACTCCAGCCTGGGGGACAGAGTGAGACTCTGTCTCAAAGGAAAAAAAAAAATTCCTGTTTAAATTGGCTGCATGCTATCCATTCAGCTTTACCATGATTCCTAACATATAGATGTGCTTCCTCCTGGGAAAGCCAGTCTTCTCACTGACCTTCAGCGTGGCAGTGGGCAGTGCTACATTTCAGCCCAAGTTTACCTTCAATCAGTATGCTTTTTATTCTGCTCATTTCAAGGTCAAGAAAAAGTCTTAACTCCTCCTTGAAGTCTCATTTTGACCACTCTTTCTCTTGATGATTTATCCCTTCTCTGACATTCTACTGCCTTTAATTACTTCCTACATAATCTATAAGTGAAGGCCTGATTCTAGTAGATCCTATTAGATTCTTTAAGAACAGGGGCTATGTGTTATAAATGAGTTTGTCTTCAATTTTAAGTAGCCACCTGTAGGTACTCAATAAATCTTATTTATTGGCTGATTTAAAACATGAGCCAAGTTTCATCAACCCAAAGAGGAGGATTCAAGCACCAGGCAGGACTAGACATGCTGGGGTTGTATCAAATTTCAGGTGCAGAGTCACGAACTATCATGAATTATTGCAAGAGCTCCCAGTGGTCCAAGGAATATGACATTGATACTACAGTAAGGGTTTCCTTTGTTCTGGCTGAGAATGTGGCTGCAGGTGATAAGATCCTCAGGAAAATCTCCTAAAGTTCTGGGACATCAAACAGCCACATAAATTTTTTGTGGGGTGGAATATGAGGGCAATAGATTGTTTCAAGGTCCCTGTATCTATTATTACTCTTTTCTGAAAGACGTTTGCATATCAGCTCTGTAGGTCAATGAATAACATACACAAATCACCTGCTTGAGGACTGTTCAGGATCTTTGTGACAGGTGTGCTTCCCTAAATTAATCAGGCAGAAATTTAACTCTGGTGTCCCAAAGGAAACAAAGGAAACAAAGAAAGTTACTACCATTGATTGTTATTATCATTATGAACTTATTAACATTACGAGATTTCACAAGCCAAGGTATAATTGAATTGGGAGTGCTTATAATTCGATTTTCTTATTCAAGACAACAACTGTCCCAGGAAATGTTTTAAAATGTAAGAACCGGATTGTGAATTGTCCAACACAGCCACTAACCACATGTAGTTGTTGTGTATTTGAAATGTGGCTAGTCCAAATTGAGAGGTGCTGCAAATGTAAAATACAGACAGAATTTCAAAGACCTAGTATGAGAAAAGAATAAAATACGTCTTTAAGAATTCTTTATATTATTATGTTTTGGAATAATATGACCTTGGATATATTTGGTTACATAAAGTATGTTGAATTCAACTTCACGTGTTTTTTTTTACTAATTTTTAATGTGGCTGCTAGAAAATTGAAAATTATACATGTGGCTCTTACTATGTTTCAAATGAATAAATTAGAGCATTTGTTCTTATTGCCTGGAGAAGAAGTCTGGATATTCTTGGCAAAAACTGGTTGGAGGGGTCCCACATCTCATGAGAAGTCAAGGTCAGCTCATTGCCACAGCCTAGGATGGTTTAGATCAAGCTCGTCCAACCCGTGGCTGGTAGGCTGCATGCTGCCCAGGATGGCTTTGAGTACAGTCCAACGCAAATGCAGAAACTTTCTCAAAACATCGTAAGTTTTTTTTGTGATTTTAAAAAATCAGTGTTAGTATATTTTATGTGTGGCCTAAGACAATTCTTCTTCTTCCAGGGTGTTACACGGAAGCCAAAAGCCAAAAGGTTGGACACCCTTGGTTTACATGACTCATGTTCACCATCCTCAGAGGCACAAGATTAAAATGGATAGTGACTAAATATTATTTAGGCAATTGCATATGACAGGGAATACAGTGACATCAAAAATATTTTGATTGCTTTCTATCTTTGTTATGGGATGAATTATATCCCCTCCCTCCAAATTCATATGCTGAAGCCCTAACCTTTAGTGCCTTAGGATGTGACTGTATCTTTTTTTTTTTTTTCTGATACAGAATCATGCTCTGTCACCCAGGCTGGAGTGC